TAAAAAGAATGACACAAATGAAAAAAGAAAAAAAAGGGACGACAAAAAAAAAAAAAAAAAAAAAAAAAAAAAACCTAGAACCTGGGAAGGGAAAAAAAAAGAAGGAGAATATAAGGATGAGAAAAAGAATAATTTAAAACAAGAAAATAAAAGCATAAATCTGGGGGGCTGGCAAGGCACCCAGGCTCTGTCTGAGCATGGATGGAATTCCTGCTGGTCCAGAAGGTGGGTGGAGGTGGGGTATGGCCACATCTCCATTCACCAAAAAGGTGTGGGGTATAAGAGTAAGAAAGGGAATATCACATTTTCCCAATTGTCAACCTCCTGTGTGCCCATGCTGTCCTCAGCTAGTGCAGCCTATTCTTAGGTCACTGGGATAGAATGCTGTCACTTTAAATATCCAAAATGACTGAACTGCTTGTCAATATTCAAAATGATTGTGCCCTCACGACAGCCAAAATCACAGCTCAGTTTGTCTCCTTACTTGCTGTTTTCCTTTCTAGTCAGAAGCCACCAGTATAGTTGTCCATGCAGCCCTTGGCAAGGCAGACTGATTTTTAGGTTACTGCCCAGGTCTTAACACCACTTGTAAACATTCAAACTGGCCGTGCTGTTGGGGTAGCTGACAGTCTGCAGATCTGGTTGTCTCCTTATTCACCGTTTTCATTCAGGTTCATCTACTAGTTGATGTTTAATCTACTTCTGTATCCTTCCTTTCAAAGCTCAGGGCTCCAGGATTATCTTCTGTATCTGTGTCAATTGGTTTCTCTTTTCTTTGTGGAGAGGGTCTGTGTAGCTTGTCTGTCTAGTCCTCCATCTTGCTGGAAGTCTCCTTGTAAGCTTTTAAGACCCCCATCACTACTCATTAGAGTGTGATGTTGAATGTGGTCTTTATGGACTGTGTTTTAGCAATTGACTTAGGTGTTCCTAACCTTTAGGCCCAGTAACCCAGTCCCATGAGGTGTTTGGTTATGGCTAAGAAGTTTTCCTGACTACACCCCTTATGTGTTCTAGTATATACACGGATATATCTGCAGCACATACCAATATGTATGTAGAAATGTCTGCTGCCAAACTTACATAGCATGACGCGCTTCCATACACCATCCCTTCATGTTCAGTTTATGTATCTATGTATCCATTCGTAAATGACTGTTTCTGTTGTAGGATTGTATATGCTACAGTGTTTACCAATGTAGCCTTTTACTTTGTGTACCAGTCAGTGTCTTCCTTTGCCTTGGTCATTGTGTGCTGACTTCCTTCATTTTGTGTATTGTCTTTCCCTTCAACAAAGATAACATTTGCCTACCATCTAGTTAGTGATTTTCCCTCTCGCCTCCTACCTTTCCTGGTAAACCATCAAAGAATGTTTCTTTCTGTGTGGAAACCTTTCCTTGACTTTGTCTAATAGTGGTCTCATACTGTGTTTGTCCCTTTGTGATGACTTACTTCACTAAGCATAACGTCCTCGGGTGCACCCAAGTTGTAAGGTGTTTCGTGGATTCTTCGTTGTTCTTCCGTATTGCATAGTACTCCGTTGGTCACTTATGTTGTTGCAAGGCTGTAAATCTTTATGAATGCAGACTTCTACATCTTTTTCTCATGGAGCAGCTCTGGTGGGTTTGAAATGCCAACCTTTATAGTTGGTATTCCAGCACTTTAACCACTGTACTAGCATGCTTCTGGATTGCAATAAAAAAAAGAAAAAAACTCACTGCCGTCAAGTAGAAAGTATAATTTGTATAAATGGAATATAAATACATTATAGGTGGAAAACAAATTGTGTTGTATATATCGTCACTTACAAGTATGGCAATAAGATGTCAGGTTTTTGTTGAGTAGGTTCTGACTCATGGTGACCCCATGTGTGTAGAGGAGAACTGCTCCACAGGGTTTTCCAGGCTATGAACTTCCTGAAGCTGATTACCAGGCTTGTCTCCTGAACTGCCAGCCTTTTGGCTAGTAGTCGAGTGCTTAACTGTTTGTGCCACCCAAGGACTCCATAAGAGAAGGCAGCACAGCCCAGGCTGCCCCACAGTGGCTGCTCTAACAGAAAACTTTCTGTCTTCAGCAGAACCAAAGCCCGGAGTCTACCCGTGTTCCTCCTGCCTTCTGGCTTTCTCCTGTCAGCGGTTCCTCAACCAACATGTCCTTCCGATCTTCCCAGGCTCGTGTGCAGGAAACCACTTTCCTCCAGGGGATCCGAGCCCCGGGCGACAGAAGCAGCAGGAGCAGCAGGACTCTGCTCAGAGCTGCTGCAGTGAACACTCCGAAGGTCGGGGGAGAGGAGAGGACTCCAAACCCTGGTGTAGGGGGACAGGGGAGCGAGCGACTGCAAGGGCACTGTCCAGCCCCCCCCAGGGACAGTCAGCAGGCCCTGGAGAAGGCAGCGTGGTGGTAGGAATCGAGGCCAAGTCAGCCCTGACAGAATCAGAAGCCTCAGGATGTGGTGCCATCAACTGTAGAGAGGATGAGCCAGCCTGTGGCCTGAATTCAAATGTCATCACAAAGCAGAGGTCCCCCTTCCGGGAGAAGCCTTATGTGCACAGCGAGTATGGCCGAGACTTCAGCCACAAATCATTTCTCATCACACATCAGAGCACACGCTCAAGTGAGAAACCTCACGTGTGCCTGGAGTGTGGACGTGGGTATAATCGGAAATCACGCCTCCTAATGCACCAGAGGACACACTCAGGGGAGAAGCCTTATGTGTGCAAGGAGTGTGGCCGAGGCTTTAACCAGGAATCAATCCTTCTTACCCACCAGAAGGCACACTCAGTGGAGAAGCCCTATGTGTGTGGTGAGTGTGGATGGGGCTTTAACAGGAAATCCCACCTCCTTATGCACCAGAGGACACACTCTGGGGAGAAGCCCTATGTGTGTGGTGAGTGTGGACGTGGCTTTAACAGGAAATCCCGCCTCTTTCTCCATCAGAGGACACACTCAGGGGAGAAGCCCTATGTGTGCAGTGAGTGTGGCCAGGGCTTTAACCGGAATTCACGCCTTTTTCTCCACCAGAGGACACACTCTGGGGAGAAGCCCCATATTTGCAGTGAGTGTGGCCGAGGTTTTAACTGGAAATCACGCCTCATTATCCACCAGAGGACACACTCAGGGGAGAAGCCTTATGTGTGCAAGGAGTGTGGCCGAAGCTTTACCCAAAAGTCAGGCCTCCTTCTGCACCAGAAGACACACTCAGGGGAAAAGCCCTATGTGTGCAGTGAGTGTGGACGTGGCTTTAACTGGAAATCACGCCTCCTCCTCCACCAGAGGACACACTCTGGAGAGAAGCCTTACATGTGCCTGGAGTGTGGCCGAAGTTATAACTGGAAATCACGCCTTCTTATGCACCAGAGGACACACTCTGGGGAGAAGCCTTATGTTTGCAGTGAGTGTGGCCGAGGCTTCAGTTGGAAATCGTGCCTCCTTACACACCAGAGGACACACTCAGGGGAGAAGCCTCATGTGTGTAAGGACTGTGGCCGAAGCTTTAATCAGCAATCAAGTCTTTTTAGACACCAAAGGACACACTCGGGGGAGAAGCCTTATGTTTGCAATGAGTGTGGTCGAGGTTTTAACTGTAAGTCAAGCCTCATTATCCACCAGAGGACACAGTCAGGGGAGAAGCCCTATGTGTGCAGTGAGTGTGGCCGAGGCTTCAACTGGAAATCACGCCTCCTTACACACCAGAGGACACACTCAGGGGAGAAGCCTTATTTGTGTAAGGAATGTGGGCGAGGCTTTACCCAGAAATCAGGCCTCCTTAGGCACCAGCGGACACACTCTGGGGAGAAGCCTTATGAGTGTAAGGAGTGTGGGCGAGGCTTTACCCAGAAATCAGGCCTCCTTAGGCACCAGCGGACACACTCCGGGGAGAAGCTTCACGTGTGTAAGGATTGTGGCCGAGGCTTTAACCAGGAATCAAACCTTCTTATACACCACAGGACACACTCAGGTGAAAAGCCATATGTGTGCAAGGAGTGTGAGCGAGGCTTTAATCGGGAATCAAGCCTTTCTAGACACCTAAGGACACACTCAGGGGAGAAGCCTTATATTTGCAGTGAGTGTGACCGAGGCTTTAACTGGAAATCGCACCTACGTATCCACGAGAGGACACATTCCGGGGAGAGGCCCTTTGTGTGTGGTGAGTGTGGCCGAGGCTTTAACTGGAAATATTGCCTCCTTATCCACCAGAGGACACACTCAGGGGAGAAGCCCTATGTATGCAGTGAGTGTGGCCGAGGCTTTAACTGGAAATCACGCCTTCTTATCCACCAGAGGACACACTCAGGGGAAAAGCCTTATGTGTGCAAGGATTGTGGCCGAGGCTTTAACCAGAAAGCAAGCCTTCTTATACACCACAGGACACACTCTGGGGAAAAGCCATATGTGTGCAAGGAGTGTGGGCGAGGCTTTAGCCAGAAGTCAAGTCTCATCAAACACCAAAGGACACACTCAGGTTAGAAACCTTATGTGTGCCTGCAGTGTGGGAGAGACTTTAGTCAGAAATCTCACCTGCTTCTTCACCAGGGGACACACTCAGGAGAGAAGCCACATGTGTGCAAGCAGTGTGGACGAGTCTTTGCCCAGAGATCAGGCATCCTTACTCCACCAAGGGACACATTGGGGAGAGGCCACATGTGTGCAAGGAGGGTGGCCAAGGCTTTAACTAAAAGTCAGACCTCATCAGAGCCTTGGGGAGGAGAGCTGTGTGGGCAGGGTCTATGGGTAGAACTTTATTCCACTGTCCCTGCTAAGCTGACTAAGTACTTGGGCAAGATGTTGCCACCACACATCAGTGGTTCCCCTGCCTCTGAGGGGAGAAGTCTGGGTACCTGTGCTCTGTCTGAGGGTGAAGATGGCAACAGTGACAGAATAGGCACATTTTCTACGTTGTGTAACCAACTGCAAGAGAAAATTAGAAGAAAGGTTGACTTGTTTTCATTCAACAAATTCATTCTCATGCTCTGTTGTCCTTTGTTGTGTCAAATTTTTCTTTATAAAACATAACTCAGTCTATGTTACTCGTCTCCTGAAAGGCACATGGAGTTCACATTCACAATCCGTAAGGAAAAATAAGTCCTAAATATGTTTATCGGAGAAACTGATAATTTGCTTGGGGAGAGGAATGATTGAGGATTTGGAGACAGATGGCAGGTGAAGGGAGTGAGTGTCCCATACCCCCAGGGGCTGGATTACCTCTTCTAACTGATCACTTTTTTCTGTAACTCCCTACTTCTTTTGCTCTGTGACAGCTCCCTTCCCTAGTTTTCCTTCATACTTTCTATTCTGATCTGCTGAATCGTGACTCATTGAAGTGTCACTGCTCCTTAATGCTCATTTCCCAGACCTAGCCCCTGGTTCCTTTTAACTACCCATTCTCCCTTGCCTTGAAATCATCTTTACAGAGCTTTCCAGATTCCAGGGTCAGAGCCTGTAACCACACCCAAACAGTTTCCCAGTGTCAAACCAACAACAATAAGTTTAAAGTCCCCTAAACACATTTCTAATACCAGATGTAGAACCTTTATCCATGTCCCTTCAGTGTAGTGAAGTGATACGGTTCCTCTAGTCATGGTCTTTGTAACTCCCACCAAATGATGGTGTGGAACTGTGCAAATGAAGGGCTTGTGTCCCACCAAGGGGATTGGTTACCTCATTGATAATGTAATTAAGGTGCATATCACCCTTGTGGGTTAGAACATGTAACTAAGATGTATGGGACCCTAATGAGGGAATTGGCCAGTTTTAGCATCCCACTAGGCTTAAAATGAGCCATCCCAGAGGCACAAAGGGCAACTTCACCACCAGCAAGAAAGAAGACCCAGACTGGAGTATGTCCTTTGAATCCTGCATTCCTGCACTGAGAGCCTCCTAGACCCGAGAGACAACTGTAACACCAGAGACTTGGACACCAAGAAGCAGTGCACAGAAATGGCAACAGAACCAGGAGAGGGTGTGGTGGGTTTCCTGGCCCACAGAGCAAGAGAGCTGATTGCTTTCAGACACTTACTGGCAGAGCTAGAAAAGCTTTGTAACATTTGCCCAAGCCAGGCAGAAGCTGAAGGGCCCCAGCGCCAAGAGGCTGAGGGCCAGGGAGAGGTACGCCTGCAGGCGTGGCTGAGAAAAAGCTGTCCTAATGGAAAAACTATATCCTGAGTCTTTTTCTGATCATGAGTTGTAATCTGTTACTTTCTAATAAACCCCATTATTAGCAGTATTAAGTGTGTCCACTGGATTTTGTAATTGCAACAGATCACACCCACAGAGAGGAGAGTGCCATGGATGGAATGGCTATTGCCAGAAGCAGTGAAAGGGTTGGCAAAGGAGCTAAGTCTGACGTCTGCCTCATAGGCATCAGTCCTTGGGGAGTTGATGCTACTAATCATTCCCCTTCCGCCTTGTGAAGTTAGAGGAGGTCAGATCCCTCTGCCACACCATCTTTACATCCCCTCAGCTTTCCATTCCCGGGACCCAGTTATGCTAGTGACACTCCCTCATCATTCTAATA